CGGGGGAGAAGCCATACCGGTGTCCCGAGTGCGGCAGGAGCTTCAGCGACAAGGCCTCGCTCATCGTGCACGAGAGGACCCACACAGGGGAGAAGCCCTACGAGTGCCCCATGTGTGGCAAAAGCTTCACCTCAAGCTCCAACCTCATCACCCACAAGCGGGTGCACACCGGGGAGAAGCCCTACAAGTGCTCTGAATGCGGGCAGAGTTTTGTTCACCGGCCACAGTTGGTCATCCACATTCGGACGCACACCGGAGAGAAGCCGTACGAGTGTCCCGAGTGCGGGAAAAGCTTCAACCAGAAGGCCGATCTCATCATCCACAGGCGCATCCACACCGGGGAGAAGCCCTACGAGTGTCCCGAGTGCGGGAAAAGCTTCATCTCGAGCTCTTACCTTCGGAAGCACGAGCGGCTGCACACAGGGAAGAAAGCGCCAGCCGGCGAAGAAAGCCACCAGTGCAGCTACTGCCGGAAGAGCTTCATCAGCCGATCCAAGCTCCTCATCCACGAGAGGACCCACACGGGAGAGAAGCCCTTTGAGTGTGCCGACTGCGGGAAGAGCTTCAGCACCAGCTCCAACTTGGTTAACCACAAGAGGGTCCACACGGGCGAGAAGCCGTACCAGTGCTCGGATTGCGGGCAGAAATTCAGCACGAACTCAAACCTGGTCAATCACCGGCGGGTCCACACAGGAGAAAAGCCGTACAAGTGCTCCGACTGTGGGCAGGATTTTGGTCATAAAGCTTCTCTCCGGAGGCACAAGAGAATTCACTCCAGAGAAGCCACCAGAGGCCTGCTTGGAACGGGGGCAAAATGTTAAAACCCAAACGTGTGGCCACGCGGAGAGCTGCCTTATGCTACAGTACACCCTCAGCCCATTGAGTCACTGGGAAGAAGCACTTAGTGGGCAGGTGTCATTCACTGCCCTACCTGGAGAGATCAAACACAGGATTTGCTACATGACGAGCCTGTCTTATGCCTGTGATCCGGGATCCATCAGCTGCGTTTCCAGATGCTATTGGAAAACTCCCCAGCAGAATGAGAAGGCAGGAGCCACAGAGAGATACAGTCTCTAAGCTGCACTTCTCCTGCATACACTTACTTGGAGAGAAATTCAGTGGGGCTCTACTAAGCCCCCAATTTTATTGCAGGAGTCCCAGAAATCACCAAGTCCAGCAAAGGACTTCAGTGTCTTTTTTTTCTAACACTCATGTACTACTCAAAGGGTCCACCAAGAGCGGGGCTCTTCAAACTTGGCCCTTTTATGACTTGTGGACTTCAACTCCCAGAATTCCTCAGCCAGGCACGCTGGCTGAGGAATTCTGGGAGTTGAAGTCCACAAGTCACAAAAGGGCCAAGTTTGAAGACTCCTGACCAAGAGGTTTGGATCTCTCCTGGTCTGTTACACTGAATAGTATCTAGTTAGAATTTATTTTACAATTGAATTGGGATCTAGATTCCTTCAGGGGTTGAAAGTGAGGGGGGCTTAGGTAGCTTCTTAGGAAGTTTAGAAACAATTGAGAAATATTCCTTGATAAGGGAGCACCATTCAAAACGTGGTTAGCAACACTACTGTAGTGGAATGTAGTCTGGAGTCCCATGAGGGAGGGGATGCTTCCCAGAGGGCAAAGAGGCAGCGGAGCTTGGAATGACTGGCAGGCTGGAAGAGGGCTAAGACGGCCCCTCCCTAGAGGTTCACAGAGTACAGGTAGTCCTCAACTTATAACCATTCGTTTAGTGATCGTTCAAAGTTACAACGGCGACAAGACCTTTTTTTACTCTCACGGCCATTGCAGCATCCCTAGGGTCACGTGATCAAAATTCAGCTGCTTGGCAACCGACTCATATTTATGACGGTTGCCGTGTCCCCGTGGTCGTGGGATCCCCTTTTGCGACCTTCTGACGAGCAAAGTCAACGGAGAAGCCAGATTCACATTACAACCGTGTTACTAACTTAACTGCAGTGTGTAAGGACCTGCCTCAATCCCTCTTCCCAAGAAAGCAGAACTCCTGGAACAGCTTCACTCCAAAAGGAACTCTTTTTTAAAAATAATATTTTATTAATTTTCCAATTTTCCATTTAAATAGCAATGTGGTGACTGGGTTAATCAATAGTTCGCTAACAAAATCTTTAGCACAAATCTCAAGTTACAACATCAAATATTTCTTCTCTTTTTCCCTTAATATTTACTGTCTCAAATTCAAGCTAGTACATTTCTTATTATATCAACTCAATAGAAACATCATTATTACATTTATCAATAATTTTTTAGTTTATACGTATCTTAATTACATTCAATCTTCATAAACAATCCATATCCTGTTATTAATTTTTACCCAATTGTTAATTTCTCATCAATATCCCAATTTAACCTTTGATATTTATAATTTTCAAGCCTTAGGTAACCAAGATTTCCCTTATCTCAATTCATAACAAAATCTACTATCCAAAATAGACATTTTATCTATTTAAATGTTATCTTGCTGTATTTCCTAAAAGTTATCTATTTCCCACCATATTAAATCATCTACTTAATAATACAAAACCCCCTTTAATAAATCAAAACCATTATGTATACTACCTGGGTTAATCAATAAATCAAACATATTCATAACAATTAATTTTCATTTTCTTTTTAGGTCTAATTTTTCAACTAATTTTTCAACTAATTTCCAAGTATTTTAAATCTAATGACCAGAATTCCCCTTATCTCAACTTCTTCCTTTAACCCTCTAATTAATAATATGAAATCCCCTCTAATAAGTCAAAACTCCGGTTTCTCTCCAGATCGTATAAATCTTTCGCCTTTTACTCCAAAAGGAACTTTTATTAGGAGACGTTGACAGCAGACATTAAAAGGCAGGGTCTGAGAGTTTCCCTCGCGAATCAATAGGTTAAAAGAGTAACTGGCAAACCCCGCCCCAATAATCCAACCGGCCAGTTCAAATGGCCCGATCCCCAGGTGTGAATCCACTGTGAGAACGGGGTTTTATTGATTTTCTAATTTTACATTTAAATATTTAAAAAGCAACGTGGCAGCTTAGTTAATAATTCAATAACATACAAGTATCTTTAGTACAAGTCTCATGAAGTACTACATGAAGTATTTCCTCTCTTTTCCCCTTAGTGTTTACTGTCTCATGTTTAAACTAATACAATTCTTATTATATCAGTTAAATAAAAATAACTTTCTTCCATTTATCAATAATTTTTAGTTTGTACATATCCTGGTTATTTTAACATTCAATCTTTGTAGACAATGTCCTAATTAGTTTTTCCCAATTTTTAGTTTCCCATTAATATTTAAGTTTAACATTTAATATTCCATTCTTACCCCAGGCCGACATCAAGGAAAATAGATCAAAGAGCAGGCAGATAGAGGAAAGCGGAGAGGATGCATTGTAGCACCCATAGCTCCCCCCTCCCCCCAGGATCATGGCAGAACCCGCATGAGTGAAGAAATCACCCTGCTCCCAACATCCGGGTTCACACACAGTGATAATAAGTAATAATAATAATAATAATAATGGAAGGGACCTTGGAGGTCATCTAGTCCAATCCCCTGCTCAGGCAGAAAACCCTAAACCATTTCGGAGAAATGGCTGTCCAGTCTCTCCTTAAAAACTTCCAGTGTTGGCGCATTCACCGCTTCTGGAGACAGGTTGTTCCACTAGTTAATTGTTCTAACTGTCAGGAAGTTTCTCCTTAGTTCTAGGTTGCTTCTCTCCTTGGTTAGTTTCCATCCGTTGCTGATTAACTTAACAACTGTGGCAGAATTCATTTAACAACTGTCTAGCTTAGCAACGGTAATGTTTAGCTCAATTATGGCCGTAAGTCAAGGACTACCTGTATATCTATAGTTATGCAAATACAGGTAGTCCTCAACTTACAACAGTTCATTTAATGAGCAAAGTTACTTATGAAAAAAGCGACTTATGACCGTTTTTCACACTTGACCGTTGCAGCATCTCTGTGGTCATGTGATTTACACTTGGATGATTGACAGCTGACTCACATTTATGATGGTTTCTCGGTCCCACAATCACAGGATCCCCTTTTGTGACCTTCTGACAAGCCAAGTCAATGGGGAAGCCCGATTCACTCAACAACCGGGTTACTAATTTAAGAACTGCAACGATTCACTTAACAAATATGGCGAGGAAAGTTGTGACGTGAGGCAAAACTCACTTCACAAATTTCTCATTGAACAGCATAAATTTTGGGCTCGGTTGAGGTCGTAAATTGAGGACTACCTGTAGTAGCTTAAATCTAGCAAGGTTCTGTCCGTAGGTGAACAACAATAAAGAAACCCTCAGAATTAACACCCTGGGTTGTTGTGGGGCCTGGCATCAATCAAGCACCACTCCCTCTCCTGTGACTCCAGGCAACGTTCCATCCCAAGTATATACCGTGTTTCCCCGAAAGTAAGACCTACCCCAAAAATAAGCCCTGGCTTGATTTTTGTGGGGGGGCTAATATAAGCCCTACCCCCAAAATAAGCCCTGGTTTTGGGGTAAGGCACAGGCCTAAAAGTCAAGGTAGGGCGGGTGTGGGAGGGCGGAGCTGCCCTATGCACCCTGCACCTACTTACCAGGCCTCCCTTGAATCGACACCTGTCTCTCCTCGCCGGCCCACTTCTGTGGCGTCCTCCGACCTGCATTTCGCAGTCAGAGGCCTTTTCGGCAAGGCCTCTGCAGCCGAGAACCGAGCTATGCTGTAAGGACCCACCTCAGCTAACCACCCAAGAAAGCAGAACTCTTGAAACAGGCATTGTCTCAAAAGGAAGCTTTTATTTGGGGTCAGTGACAGTAGGGAAGTCAAGGTGAGATCTGAGGAAAATCCCGCTTGAACGATATAAACCAGTGGTGGCGAACCTATGGCACGGGTGCCAGCGGCGGCACTCAGAGCCCTCTCTGTGGGCACGCGCGCCGTTGCCCCAGTCCTATACCTTTAGCTGGGTTTTATAAAACCTTTTCACTTTAGGCCTCCGCCATGTGCAAAAAAGAAAAGGTTCAATCAGTCAATTTCAACTTCTCGTGGGAAAAAAAAAGTTCTTGCAAAGTTGAAATTGATTGATTGAACTTTTTAGTCCCACCCAGTCTGCTGTTACCACCGCAGCTATGCCCACCCAATTGGCCACGCCCAGCCAATGGGCCACACCCACCCGGCACTCGACGATGCATAAGTGGGTTTTGGGTTGCAGTTTGAGCACTCGGTCTCTAAAAGGTTCGCCATCACTGATATAAACAAACCAGCAATATTCCTCCTCCCACCGAAGTCATAATGTCCATTTGAAATCCAGCCAATCCACAGGTGGTACAACGAGCGGGTAACTAGTACGGTTGGTGCCCGTCTCAAGGCCTTCTCCAGCTTTCATTTCTTTCATTCCTTTCCCAAGTGGATAGAGGTAGAAGAAGGAAAGCAGAAAGCAAAAGCAAATATCTCCCCTCCCCCCAGCTAAATGGCAGGCCCCAAAGTAAAGCACAGGAATGTATATGTGGAAGGGAGACAATAAGGATTTGGGGACCTGACATACGCATTCAATCCGTAGCTCGCTTCTTGGCTGCAGAGGCCTTTCCAGAAAGGCCTCTGACTGCGAAATGCAGGCCGGAGCAGCATTCTCAGCTGCAGAATGAAGCTGCTCCTTCAGCTGCAGAAGAAGCGGGTCGGCTGGGCGGGACTGTTGGTGCCGCCGCGAGTTGAGACCGTGGAAAAGACACCC